AGTAGCTTTCAAAGTAAAGAAACTATCACTTACCAAACCAAAAAGTTAAAAAACCAATGCAGGTCACCAGAAACATGATTGATAGTTTCTACCGTAGGTAAGTGTGTACAGCAGTGACAATGCTTTGTCACTGGTGTAGTTTGTAGTTTTATGTGACTGTGAGAGGGTATAACTGTGATGTTGACGACCAATCGCAGGGCCCCCGCAGCTTCCTGTTGTATAACAAAGTGGTTAACTAAAAAAAAAAGACTTCACTGTGGCTAAGGGAAAAGACACACGGATAAACATTATGTAAATCTGGGTACCCGAGAAAATGAAAATAACTATGGAAATACTATATTATTATTATTGTTGTTGCTTAACAGCAGTATGATTCTGCATAAGAAGGACGTTCTGTACAGTACATGCTTCATAATATAATAATTTTGCGTCTAATATGTCTTATATCATTGTAAGTTGTATGTCCAATATAAGACAGAGGAAGATGAGCAAAAAATCAATGAACATTTGTCATGGTGGAAAAACAAAGTTGACTGATCAGAGAGGAAACATTGTTAATCAAATCGTTTCCCAGCTTCTACAATAAGACTTCTTTCATCTGCAAGGAGGTAGACAAAGAGAACTAACACAGAAGGTTCTATATTAGATACTTTAATAAAATGAAAATAGTAAACAGGTTCTTAGAACGTACTGTATCAGTGACTTTTAACCCATCAGAGCAAATAAATAACTAAAGAAAATCAGTAAATGGAAAGATATGTAGATTGCATTGGCTGTTTTCAACTGCAAAAGTAGTGTCACATACAGTACATGTGGTGCCATTTCCTGGAAAACAACTATTGATGTTTCTGGAATTGATTTAATATACTGCCTCTAAGAGTCAGGCTGGAGTTTTTGTACAGACGATCTATGGCACATTTTTCACTGTGGGTATCCCAGCAGGCACAGTAATAGGTGGCAGAATGGCTGCTCTGTGCATTAACTATAGTAAGCTCACTCTCAGAGTTGCTGCTTTTGCTTACTCTGAATACTTTTTTGTCTTCATCATTGTCATAAGTTGGTGTCCCACCAATGCTTTGGATATAAAGAATCCGTCTCATCGCTTCGTTTTCTTTTTTCTGGTACCAGTGGATAACGGCAGAGTCAAAGCCCGAGTCTTTGTATTTGCAGTTGATGCGAGCAGTTTTGCCAGAGCCTTTTGTAACGGTTATTTTATCCTGTTCCAGAGAAAACGATGTAACTGGCACTGCAATGAAAAACAGAAAAAGTAGAAAAGGAATACATTTAGATTTTTAATCGGTGCAGCCTCAAACAACTTTATTACACCAAAGATCACTTACCCAGAAAAAAGGAAATAATAGCAATGCTTCGACCCTGCAGCATGGTTCCAACTCATTGAAAGAGTTACTGTCTCACTTGTATGTCCTGCTGTACAGTATCATAGCTTTAAATTATTTTAGCTGAGCTCTGACAGGAAATGACTGTGACGCAGAAACCAGTCTCAAAAGAATGTGATTTGCTGTCATTTTCCGAGCTATTAGAAATGTCATCCTTGATATGATCAGAGAGCACTTTGACCCAGAGTTGCAATCATTTTGAATTTATCTTACAGAAAATGAACAGGAATGTTTCCACCTACCAGTTTTGTTCATCATACAGACTGTTATCATATTTTAATCCTTCACATACAGTTCTGTTCATGATCATCAATACTGTCTTTCAATCCATTGCTGATGCTTCACCAACTACACTAAAATGCGAAAAAGCATTTGTAAATTTTTTAACTTCCTAATAAAATCAATAAATTAGAAATTATGCTTCAAAAGCGAAATCTTGTAGGAAGGTGCTGGTGGAAGTGTTGTTTAAACTAAGGTCCTGCATACTTACTGTTATATACTTTTGTCAAGTGTCCAAAATCCTAATGCGTGAGATTTTCTTTAAAAAATTGTATTTACATACTATTTGAATTTAAGGTTGATTTTATTCAGATACAAAAAAAACCACATAATATTATTAAGAGAATTTATGCCAATTTATTGTGGTTACTATTTACCTGTAGTTTATCTTGAAAAGCTGTGAATGAAACTATGAAAAATATACAGTAAGAACCATGTCCCTTGAATCTAAGAATTCTAAGAAGTATTTGTGTATAGACATGGTGAATGGTAATTAAACTGTTCATGAACATGGTTTGTGTTCTGGTAGTTAGATTTATGGTTTCATATAGATGTTAAACGTCTGAGGTCATTACTTTGATTTGAAATTCCTTACTAGTGATGGAATGAATCATTGTTTTGAACAATTTTCTTATGTTGCCACATTTGTAAAAGAATTACTTGAAACACCATTTTATCAATTTTATTGAAAAAGTGTAATATCAGTTGCACGTAAACCAAATTATCCTTAGATATAACTGTCAAAAATAAAACCTTAGAAAAAGCAAAGAATAGAAAGAAGTGTCCTCAGAAAAGTTTGGATTGTTGGCTGTGGTCTGTAATGATTATCAGGTGCTAGGACGTTATAATTTCCTGGAACGTTAAAATTTACTGTACAGTGGTTTCAGTTGATCCAAAGCTTTGATTAATGCTGTGATATAGAAATTGTTGTTGGGGTTTTTGTACCAGCTGCCTCTAGCATCTGTATCACTGCGGGAAACCCAACGGGCAAAGGAACATGTGGCAGAATGACTGTCCCTCACAGCGGATATTTTAAGATATTCTTTTCCGTCAGCCTCAAAATCCGAAGGAGCAAAGTCACGAGCAGCTGCACCACTTCCAGTACTCACATAAAGAAGTGTCTTAAGAGGTTTGTTTTCTTTTTTTGTGGTACCAGTGGACACAGCTCTCACCAGGCTTCATGTCAGTGAGTTTACAGTTAATATTTGCGGTTTTGCCTCCCTTTTTCTCACCTGTGTCTATTCCTTCAGAGGGTGTGACTGACTGCAATAAAGAACAAAAAAAAGAAAGTTGGCTTGCGTGATCTGTTCACTCACGTGGTTTCAGAAAATAATTCTGTTGCCCCTCTCCTTTGGGGCACTTGTTTTGGTGACTGTGGTCCAGGGGGTTCTAGAACCGTATTGTGAGTGTGTACTACGTGGATAATTTGTCTCATGTGCCCTGTGGGTCAGGTGGGCACTGATGACAATTGCAGTGTTATG